TCCAGACCAGAATGTTATGATGTCATCTCGATAAAAAGTTATTCATACTTTACATCAGTCATTATACAGATATAGTCATCATACATGACGGTTGTACATTATCATACATGACTAGTACATTAGTCATCATACATGACTGGTAGAACACATTGGTTAAATTAATGTTTTCTTCTTTAGATAAAGTGGCATTTTAGATTTGAATATGATTGAGTTTGTTCCATAAGTACTCCATGCTAACTGAATGTTTCTGTTGATTCAAGCAGTAGAAATGCCGAGCTGTATTATTATTTGTCCCAAAAATATATACCTTCCATATAGTCTGCCTGCGACATGCCACCTTTGTAGGTGTCAACGATGCGTTGTTTCAAATCAATTAAATAATGTATAGCCCGAGGCATTCTACAGAGCAAAATGGTTACTTGTATCAACACTCTCAGAAAACTAACACTGCGTAAAGATCAAGTTGCTCTAATTTTGTCCTAGAATTTCATCAACATATTTAAAAAAATGCAAAAAATTACCGATAAAGAATACATTTAAGTCAACAAATAATCGAAATGTTTTGGTTGAAAGAAACATTCCATTGCAAAAATAAATAAACCGATTCAAATAAATGATGGGAGTTAAATTCACATTTTTCTATAGTTGCTCTAATTTTGTCCGATACTGTATATAAAAACAGTTTATCATCAGTTATTTTTGCTTCTGCCCTGAGAAACATCGTTGCATCTAAATGTATATTTTTAAAAAATTAAAAAAATAAAATAAATAGTTTTTTAAAAGTATTAGCCGAGCTACCCACGCCTCAGGTACATTTCCTAATTGTTTCCCATATTCCGCTGGTATTTAAAATTGGCAACCTAAAGTTATTACTTTGACTATAAAAGTTAGCGATGTGTTAAATAGGCAAATAAAGTTATTTCGAATTCCAACAGCCTATTCTCCGCACATTAAATATTAACTTAAGTATGTAGTAATATAAAGTTATTAATTAGATAGAAAGCAGATATCGAACTACTTTCACAATTATAAAGTCTTAAATTAAGTTCTCGGCCTTATTTAAATCGACTGGCGCACTAACATTATTTAAAAATGAACATGAATAAAATTAATGATGATTATTTTTAAATATATTATAAATGTTAATCAATTTACTTAAGTTAAACCAGTTACCGGAGTAAACACACGCGCTTTAAAAACAAGTAAAAATTGTTCAATAAAAATAACTGAAGGAAAACATTTAAAACAGCTGTAACTTTTTTGCTATGGAAAATTTTGAATTTCTATGAAAACATTTTCAAAGCACCTTTTTACGTAGAATTTAATGGTTCAAATATAATTATTTTAAAATTAATAATTTAAGAGTTATCAACAGAAAAAATATTTTTTTATTTGGGACACCCTCTATATTTTTAATTAACTGAAAAGAATTTAAAAGTACCGTAAAATGGGGTGAATAGAAACATAGTGGTGAATAGAAACAACATTTCTGAAAAAAATCAAATCACGATTAAAAATATTCAAAGTAAAAAGAGTCGACATATCTAATTTTTCTATCATTGGTAATACATAATAAAATGTAAAAACTATATTTTTATCTGTGGCAGCACTGTTTCTGTCAATCAGCTGATCAATAAATGTGAGATCGATTTATCACCTATTTTGTATGGCGCGAAAACTTTATAAATAAAATATTTATTTTTAAAGTAATACATAAGCTGGTACATGTAAGTTGTTATATTATATGTATTTTTTCATGGTACTCAATTGATAATTCTAATCAACTGTATAAACTTTTCAAAAATAATAGTTTTTGTAAATAAAACACTTTTTTTAGGTTGTGTGGTGAATAGAAACACTGTTTCTATTCACCTCATACTTTTGTTTTCTTTTTTCAGAACATTTGGATTTATTGTGCTTAAATGAACAAGTCTATTTATAGTACATCTGCTGGATCTGTGTCTATGAAAGGAATGAACAAGCTCAATTTCAACAAAGTCCACCACTATTTACCCATTTAAAATAAACAAAGAGGACATTCGAGAAGGTGATTGGCTAGTTGTTAATTTTTTTGTAAGCACAACAAAGGCTTGTAGTTCTACTTCAAATAAGAAACCTTATATAGGAAGAGTAAGAGCCCTTATTGGAAACGGCAACTTTGAGGGAGAATTTTATCGCGAAAGAGATTCAAGGGACTTTAAAGGATACATTTATGGATTGCCCAATATTCCAGATATCTCTGAATTTGAATATACCCAAATTATTGGGAAGCTTAATCCTCCTGAAGAGTTTAGAAGAGGCCTTAAAGAATTTGACTTTGATATAAGATGCTTAGAATAGGTTTACTATATTTTTGTATTTCATAAAAAAAATAAATGTTTTTGATTAAAAATAGTTATTATTCAATGTTAATTATTGTTAAACCTACTTAAATATGTAATAATTTACTGTTTCTAATCACCTTGTTGGAAGTAGAATAGATAAAAACCTTAACATCAATGTGTGTTTCTATTCTCCCGAATAGCAGGTGAATAGAAACACAAATGTTATTTTTATTTAATATTTATACGCATATATTTCAAAAGTCAAATTATATGTATACGCAAAGAACAAACAAAGACCCATGTTTTAAAATATTCGGGAGAATTATACCACATTTTTATCAACCGGTATATCGCTAATAGCCTACGAAACTGTTTCTATTCACCCCATTTTACGGTACCTTTCCAAAAATATAGCACACTTGATATTTTGTTATAATCCCCTTCGAAATACAGAATTTTTAAGTTCGCCACTTTTAACTAGTAGGCTTTGGACCCCTTATTGGTGATATGCCCTTAATGGAACTCGAAAACATATTTTTCCAGCAAGACAACAGCACCGCCTCTGAAAGCTGAAGTTAGCAGCAAATTTTTGCAGCCAATTTCAAGAATAATTGGATAGCTAACCACGATCCCAGACGTTGGCCGTCGAGGCCGCCTGACTTAGTGCCCATATATCTAATCCTATGGATATTTTTGCGGAAGAATAAAGGTTCCTTATCTTCCGTATAATCTAGACAATAATTAAAAATACTTTAAGTATAAGCAGTTATGAGAGGGTATCTTTCACCCCCACTGAGTAAATTAATTCCGCGAGAAATTTTCAAAAACTGTCCCGTCTGTCCATAACAGAAGAGGGTCGATATGTCGAACACCTGTAGCAAAATCTGATGTCTTGGTTTGCTATTTATTTTTATTGTTAATAGATATAGTTTAAATGTGTTGATGTTGGTTAAATATATTTTAAATTGTCATAAAATTCTGCATCTCTCATAGCAAATATTATTTTCGTTTTAATTGATGCTCACAGCTAAATTTTTTTGCATTACAGCCGGTGCCGTTCAAAGCCTACTTATTTAAAGCGGGCAAATTTTTATATACTCTATATCTCGAAGAGGAATCTAGCAAAAGTGTGTGTGTTATATTTTTGGAAAGATAATTTTAAATTATTTTCAATAAATTAAAAATATACAGCGTGTCCCATATAAAAAATCAAATTTTCTGTTGATAATTCTTAAATTATTAATTTTAAAAAAATTATACTTAAACCATTAAATTCCACGTAAAAAGGTGCTTTGGAAATGTTTTCATAAAGATACAAAATTTTCCATAGCAAAAAAGTTACAGCGATTTGTTAAAAATGCATATTTTTGAAAAACACCCCGTAACTCCGAAACGGTATGATATGTGGTTTTCACCATCATGTTTTTGACAAAAATTGATCTCCAGACACCGATATTAGTTTTTGTCTATCTCCTATAGAAAAGGGTATTTCCATTTAAAAGCGTCGAATTTGACCCACCCTGTACAACGAACTAGTGGAAAGAAGGCATTTTAATAAATAACACAACACTGGAAATAGAAGAATATATATACAGGGTAAGAATACAGGGTGATGAGACATATGACAGAGACATATGCATGCAAAACCTGGATACTTAAAACGGACATCATAAGAAAACTGCAGGTCGCACAGCGCTCAAAAGAACGAAATATGCTGGGAATAATCAAGAGAGACCGTAAAAGAATAGAGTGGCTACGACAAAAGACCTTGAAAATGTAATAGATGTCATCCACAAAGTCATATCCCTCAAGTGGCAATGGGCAGGACATTGCCACTTGAAGCCTGGCAAGAAGAACGGACGATAGATGAACCACAAAAATTAAAGAATGGTACCCATTAGGTACCATTAAGAGGTAAGAGGAATTAAGAGACCTAGAAGAAGACGGAACCTGAGATGGGATCATGATATTAAGAAATTAGCAGGGATAACTTGGGCCTGCATAGCCAATAATAGACAGCAATGGGCCCAACTACAAAGAGAGTATCTGAATATGTGAGGGAGGCCACACCATAACTGGAAATGGTTGAATAAGCTGAAAGTGATGATGATGAGGAGGATTTTTTTCAAAAACTAACAAAAATAGTATAGTAATAAAATATTTAGTAATACCTATACAAAAACTGACGCCTTTTGTGTTAGAATATGTCAAAAGCATTATTTAAATTATTATTTACTAAAATTTATTAAATTAAAACACTATTATATATTTATTTACGGACCATTAAAAATAAAGTTCTTAGATATTATCCATTCCAGGCATTTCATATTTAAATTTAAATATAGTAATTATTTTCCCCAAGACATGCTCTGTACGAAATGTGTAATGATTATGAATTATTTCTTGTTTTTTCAAAGAACCTTTCAGAAAACGTTTAATATACACCTGAAACATATGTTTTCTCAACAATTAGAACAATTTGCAGGTGTTGCTTTGACTTAATACCGTATGATTTATATAATGTGCATTTAAATTAAATAATGTTATATTACTTTAAATTGTAGCACAATTATTTATTTATTTTAATACATAAACATCACATTAATAAAATTTGCGTTGCTTCAATCAATAAATCATTAAAAATAGTTACCAATTATTCATAATAATTAGACTTACCACTTTTTTTGTATTTATTGCTTCACAGTCACCTGTCATCTTCAAATTTTTGCAAGGAGGGTCATCTTTTCGTGGCACAGTTGCTAAAAAACATCAAAATGTGTAGGCATAACAATGATGTGCTGAATGTCACTAACCTTATACAGTCTTAGGAAAACAATAAGTGGCCAACTGCTACTAGATTCTCTAATTAATACGTCTTACTAACTTCACACTTTTCTTCTCTATAGTGAACAATTCTGAATAGGTGATATATTTTCCACGGGTGCCAATCTCTTTTGCATCTTTTACAAAAAGAAACTTCATCTCAAGTGTTCCCTAGATATTAGATGCAGAAAAAAATGTTTAGTTGTTAGTATAACTATAATACAGGGTCTTTAATAAGCGCAAATATTTTCAGGGCTGGTAGATATATCTCGATAAAAAAGCATATTTTCTCTTTAACCTTTTGCAAATAAATCCAAAATAACTTAAAGAGTTATTTTATTTAGAAAATTTCCAAAAAAAAAAGATTTTTTGCTAATATTTTGAGAATAACTGGATCTTTTCTGGATTTTCATTCTTGTAAATTTAATCTACAACCTATGTTGCCATATTATCAACAAATTATGTTTTTTAACTAAAAAAAAATCCAAAACATTTTTTAAAAAATTCCAAATTTTCAATTTTTTTTTACCGGAAAATACTTCATAAACGCGTCTCTGAGGTCGAAATATACTACCCCTAAAAATATTCCTATAAAAAAAGGTCCACTATTAATATATGTCATTATGCCATTTTTCTTTAAATGGACAAGGCGAGTTTTGCATCTTGACGCCTCAAGTATTTTCTAATAACTTAGAAAATAATTTAGCTCTAATAAGAAAAAAAAATACACTTACTTTTATCCTTTATTAAATTAGTCTTCCTCCCTCCATTTATCCGTGAAGACTCATAAGGGCGACATTAACCCCCTTTAGAGTTCAACTCCATCTTCTTTACTTCTTGAGGACTTATAAGGAGAACGTTAGTCCTCTTAGAGATCGTCTCACACCTAAAGCTATCTGAAGAAAATAATTAAAGAAAACAATCATAACGGACCTCGACCGACAGCAAAAAAAGCTGTTTAATTTTTCGAATAATTCCGACTTCAATAACGCACATCTAAGAGGGCCTATATTCACTATTAGATACTCACGAAGGCCGACTATATCTAAACTAGGCCTAGCACTAACCTGAAACAATAGAGAAAAATTGTTAGTTGGAAATTAAGAAAATGAAATACTCGTATAACACACCTGGTTCAGTCTCGTTCTGGACTTATAAACCAATGGAATTTATCTCCAAGATCTTCGATTTAGAGCTGCATCAGTCGCAGTACCTCATTATAGATGGTTTCAATGACAAACTTCTTTCGAGCAATTGTTACTAAAAAGAAATACAAATCAACTATTATAGGTATTTTAGCAGAACACCCAAGGTGATCGTATTATTAATGATAAAAATAGCTTAAATAATTTATTGAAAGAATGGTACAAAAATACTTGATATTGATATAGTGGAGGTATTTTTAATTTTTTTTTTAAAATAAGCACTAGAATGCTAAAAACTAAGCAAAAAAATTCTGTGAGAAGATTACATTAGAATAATATGTTTGGCATTGGCTGCCAGCTTGATCATAAAACTTTTTAACCATATGGTATATGATATCAAGTTTGCTTACCTCTTTAAATACGAGTTAAAAATTGACTATCACTCGCGACCCAATACCCAGAATCTACCAGGATGAACCGACCAAGCCCCCAAATGAATATCCCGAAAGACATCCATTTGGCTAGCACAGCTCAGCTCATATTCTTAGGTTATCTTAACATTAACTTTTCCAAATTCAACATGGCCGCAAAGTGATGATTGGACAGTTCGTACATTAGAATCAAAGCCTGGATGTATTCGATGCCACATCAACACATCATAAATTATTCAAGAAATCCTAAAAAATAATTTAATATTAAAACATAAGAAATAAAATAATAAATGCCATGTCAGACTTACATCACTAACATTAATCACATTATTAAGGCGAATTAACAAGTATCCAGTAGCTTGGCGCCAGTATTACTGATATGCCAGCATTGGGATAGTGGTAGCACAGTGTAAACACTTTACTTCCAATCGAATTTAAAATCGTACAATAAATCTGGACAGTTCGTACATCAGAATCGACGCCTGGATATATCCGAAGCCATATCAACAATTCATAAATTATTCAAGAAATCCTACAACTATAACTGATTATTAAAACATAAAAGATAAAGAAATAAATACATGTCAGACTTACATCACTAACATTATACTTGAATATAATTTGCTGTTTCTCCGACTCACCATTAAGGCTAATTTACAAGTATCCAGTAGCTGGCACCAGTACCATAAATATGCCAGCATTGACATGGTGGTAGTACAGTGTAAACACTTTCACGTGACAATGGCCAGTGGCACGAAAAGGTGTCCTCAAACAAACAAAAACTTCCAGGATGGTCCTTATCCATACCTCTGGATAACGGACCCTAGAAGATACTAGCTTTCCGGGTCAAAGATGGCCTGGAATCTGCGGAGGGCAGGATCGATTCATTTTTCCCTGATAGAAAGATCTCTATCCGCTACCCATAACGTCCATCCTAAGGAAAAACTCCTCCAGAAGCAGTATAACAGCAAATTTTCCACCATGTACCAGAAATGACACCAGTTGATAATAAAATATCACAATAAATATCGATCACTTCATCTCTGCAATGTGAGCTAGTGTTTGTATCTAGCTAGTGTTTGTATCTATACTAAAATTCTGAAATAAAAAAGAAACAAGTGTTACTAAAACAGACTGAAGCAATATATTATTTAATAATTATTTATTAATTACAACGTCTCTAAAACAGCAAGTAATTCAAATTCTTGGAAAAAGGATCGTGTTAAGTAGAGATGCATGTTCCATTTTTGGATAATTTTTTGTCATAATTAGATACTGCTGTATGATTTAGCAAAAATTATATTATTAATAATATTAATATATTGTATAAATTTTATGACAGAAATTTTTTTACAGGTTTTTATGACAAGGAAAGCCCTATAAATATAAACAGTTACATTAAAGAATATAAATAAAATATATTGCCCATAGCTAAAAACCTACATAGCTACCAGTTACCTTACGAGCAAACGCGATTAAATATAAGTTATACCGAGTGTTTCTACTTTCCTGACCACCTACTATATACAATAATACTTAATACATTTTCTCCCGACGGCCATAAGGCATAAAATTGTTATTTGATATTGTTAAAGGTGTATCACAGTAAAATCTCGCATATGAATGACACTATCTTATATGAAATATATTCGCAATAAGAAAATTACCGTGCTTTATGTCTAACTTCATTTTGCTGCAAGATTAACTTGGATAAATTTAAACTATCGCCTAGGGTCATTACCGTCTCAAGTTCTGACATCTTCATTTAATAATTGCAGATACATTTGCATATATAATGTTTTTCCTAAGTCAAGGGAATTTAATATTTTGCCTCAAACTTAACGAAACTTTCACGCAAAATATTAACATGCCTTTGGATAGTTTAGTTTATATATGTAGAATATAGTCACTCGTTGTTAATTTTGTTTCGAACAAGACTAAAGTGGATAGTTAGAAGAGGGTTTTGAGTGAAATGCCACTGTAAAATATACAGCGTGTCCAAGGCATCTTACGTTAGAAGTTTGGAAAGAACTGCAATATCTAATCGTCGTTTTTTTTTGGCATGAATCATACAAGGTTTTTTTTGGCAAACTCTTTGTTAATGACTTGATCAGACAGACTTAAAATTTCATAGGCATAGTTTCCCTTCTTAAAACAACATGAAAAAAGTAATAAATTAATAAATAGTTCTAGATATTTACGCCAAAAGCGTTTTGACAGTATAAATATCTACAACCTAGAATGCCACTTTATCTAAAGAAGAAAACATTCGACCAATGTACAGTGGTGGCCAAAAGTATGGAAACTTTTTTAATTTGTCAACTTTTTTAATATGAAATAAAACGACTTATATAATCGTGACCTACAAATAATTTCCTACAAAACCTAATACATTTAAATAAAAAATTACAGCTATCAAAAAATATATAACAAATTAGGAATATTTTCTTGGTCAAAAGTATGGAAACTTAAGAAGAATGTTTATTAAAATTCAAGATAATATAAAAATTACTAATATTTAGTGGAATATCCCTTTGAATTAATTACTTCTCTACATCTTCGTGGCATCGAATCGATCAATCTCGTACAATCTTTACTGGAAATGGCCGCCCATTCAGTTTTTAGCACTTCCCATAATTCATCTTTATTTGGAATGGCTTCGAATTTTGCTATCCAAATGGTCCAATAAATTTTCTATGAGGTTAAGATCCGGAGACTGTGAGGGCCAATCCATTAGTGGAACATTATGTTCATTTAACCAATTTTGAACAAACCGAGAGTTGTGCTTGGGATCATTGTCTTGCTGGAACAACCATCTGAGTGGCATTTCTTCATCAGCATGAGGCAGCATATTATTCTCCAATATGTCTTACTTGTCGTAATAACTTGTACAAAAAACGGTCCATTATCCCATCAATTTTAACAAGAGGACCAACACCTGAGCGAGAAAAACACCCCCATATCATTACACTCCCACCCCCATGTTTTACTGTGGGCATCTGGTACTTATGGCTGTACCGTGTACCTTTTGGTCTTCGGACATAACGTCTGCCGTCACTACCAAACAGTTGAAACTTGCTTTCGTCGCTAAACAGTACAGTATTCCATTTCTGATAAGACCAGGTGAGATGATCTTGAGCAAATTTAAAGCGGGCCATCCTATTTTTCTTTGATATTAGTGGTTTCTTCACCGCAACTCTTCCAAAAAGTCCCATGTCATCCAACCTTCTTCTCACTGTGCGTGCAGACACCGATATTCCTCTTTCACCCATTTCTCGAGAAATGTCTGTGGATGTTTTTCTTGGATCTCCCATTGATATTCTCTTCGTTACTTTCATTGTCCTGTTGCACAACTTTCTTGGTCTTCCTGACTTAAAAGCTGTTGAAACGTTTCCTGTTTTATTAAATTTACGAATTATTTTCGAAACGGTGCCTTTTAAAATGTTTAAATTTTTACTTATTTGAATTTGTTTATAACCGCTCTTGTATAATTTAACTATTTTATTTTTTAAATCCGTAGAGAAATATTTAGACTTGGGCATGATGTTTATATTTATCTGAAGCAAATCGTACCGTTTATCAGCTTAAACTAAATAATTTTAATGTATTTATTTATGGTTTCCATACTTTTGGCCACAAGAAATCTATTGTTCTCCTACAAAAACTGCTAAACAGATTTTTTTCGCTGTGTAATTTTTGGAATACTTTTATTTGCTGATAAGCTGTTCATTTATATTCCTGAGAGTTTAAGCATAGCAATATTTTCTGTGATATTTTAAAAAGTAAAAAGTTTCCATACTTTTGGCCACCACTGTATACTACCAGTCATGACCTATGCATGCGAACTTAAAACACTTAAAATGCTAGGAATATGCTGGGAATAACCAAAAGAGACCGTAAAAGAATAGACTAGATAGGACAAAAGACCCAGGTTTGGTTTGGTTGAAAATGATGATGAATTATCTACAGAATTAAAGATAAACAAAAAAATATATAAAATTGCAATTGTGACAGATATTAAGAAAAAATATTTAAAATTCCTAAGTCCTAAAAGGCTCCAATAGTACTCTAACTAGCAGCAGCTCTATTTTAGGATATGTTTTTGTTAATAAGAGGCTTCTAACTATTTTACTAATTTCATTTTTTTATATTTAACAGTCCTGTGTACAACAAAACATATTTTGTTATAACTTTTTTAATTAAATCCGCAAATATAAATTTCCTAGTTAATCATGAATAGTTAATTCGGTTTCTAAACACACCTTTTGGTCTTTTAAGTAGTTTAAACTCACCAAACTGCCGTTTCATTTACAAATAGTACAGTTTCTATTCTGAAACTAACATAGATGTACACAACATTAATGTGTTTATTTGACCATTAAAACTAAACCTAATTATTTGAAACAAAATAGATTTCAGATTACAAAGTAAATGTCAAAAAAATATATTTTACTTTAAAAATAACTAAAATACTGAACTTAATTCAATTTATAAATTTGAGAACATTTAATCATAGGCATATAATATATAAACAATAAAAATAGAGACATCTTTATAACAGTTATTTTATAAAATTTCCTGTGACTTCTTATACAATACATTAAACATCTCTACGTCAAAAGAGTAAATAAGGTTTGGTGTATACTGTATGTACCGACACACTGAAACAACATTTCTTTATAGAAATACATTTTATGGTCTTAAAATCAAGGTACAGTACGGTGTGTAGGCTAAAAATATTTGATACATAGATAGTTCCAATGTTATTTTAATATTTAATGCTTCAGTTTGGAAATAAATATTGATATGTTCTGGTCTTGTAACATTAATGTATTACTTTATTATAATTTATACGAAACTGGAAATAATCCAACAAAATATATGAGAAAGAGTAACATATTATGTCTCAATAATATTATTTTTTATATACAAGAAACAATTCTCAAATTTATAGGTTTTATAATGAATTTTAAATAAAAATATTAAGAAAAAACGATGTTTCAAGAGTTTTTACACCCTGTATTTTAACAATTTTATTTAATATCTGTTTATATGAGTTGTGAGTTCACTCTTTGAAGTTTTGGCTGTATATATAATTAACACCCCGTAGATTAACACACATTTTTATGTAAATTTGCTTGTTTACGAAAACTATTAGTATCTGATTGAGGTAGAAAAGTTTTATTGCTTTCCAAATTTGACAAAATAAGAAAATTATGGTAATATATAAAAAGTATTAAAGAGTTCTTCAAACATTTGTAACTACTTTTAATATCCTAGACAGTTTAAACACATTTTCTGTATTTGGAAAAAAACTTATTAAAGTGGACCCATTTAAAATAGTGCAGTAATTGTGATAATCGATTTTATGTCTGATCATTTGAATAATAAAGTATGAGAAAAGTGAAATCTTTAGAGTAACACGTATCGTTAAATCTAAAACTTTTGAAGGATATAGGTAGTCAAAGGCTGCCAACGCGAAACAAACGAATGACGCGTCGCCGATTTTGGTTAAAAAAACTCAACTATAAAATTACTAAAATATCGTAAATAAACAAATATTTCGAAAAACTTACCCTTTTAATAGATGTAACAAATTATTTGGAAGAAGGCACTATAAAAAGATTCGCTCGGGCACAAGTATTTCCGCAAAATTGTTGATAAAAACTCGGAAACATTTTTCCGCATGACATTCAGTAAGGCGCTGTGACTTGACTGAATAGTTATGAACTAAGAACAGACACACATATAAAATATTATTATGTAAACAATAATAGTGCACTATTTTAAGAATACACTTCCCACCTATAAAAGGTAATTCAAATATATTTGACACTAAGGTTATAAAATTATAATATATTAAATAGAATAATCTATTTTTTTATTCATTGCAAAAATATTTTAACAAAAATAATGTATTGCCTTAACCAATACCGAGTGATTTTAAAAATATGACTATTTTTATATTGCAGTTTCTACACATTTAAACCTCTTAAAAAATTGCAAAAGCCTAAATTAATTATGATTTTTCACTGGAAGTATTTTAGAAAGTGCCTCCTTCAAAACTAATCATGCCATGGTCAATACCGAGTGATTTTAAAAATATTACCATTTTTATTTTGCAGTTTCTACACATTTAAAGCTCCTAAAAATTTCAAAAGCGCAAATAAATTATGCTTTTTAACTGGAAGCATTTTAGATACTATCTCCTTCAAAACTAATCATACCATGGTCAATACCGAGTGGTTTTAAAAATATGACCATTTTTATATTGCAGTTTCTACACACTTAAACCTCTTAAAAAATCGCAAAAGCCTAAATTAATTATGATTTTTTACTGGAAGTATTTTAGATAGTCCTCCTTCAAAACTAATCATGCCATGGTCAATACCGAGTGATTTTAAAAATATTACCATTTTTATTTTGCAGTTTCTACACATTTAAAGGTCCTACAAATTTGGAAAGCGCAAATAAATTATGCTTTTTAACTGGAAGTTTTGTAGACAGTAACTTTTCTTCAAAAAACTAACCATAGCATGACCAATACCGAGTGATTTTAAAATATGACCATTTTTATTTTGCAGTTTTTACACATTTAAAGCTCCTAAAAATTTGAAAAGCGCAAATAAATTATGCTTTTTAACTGGAAGTTTTGTAGAGAGTAACTTCTTCAAAAAACTAACCATAGCATGACCAATACCGAGTGATTTTAAAAATATGGCCATTTTTATATTGCAGTTTCTACACATTTAAAGCTACTAAAAATTGAAAAAGCGCAAATAAATTATGCTTTTTTAACTAGAAGTATTTTAGAAAGTGTCTTCTTCAAAACTAATCATGCCATGACCAATACCGAGTGGTTTTAAAAATATGACCATTTTTATATTGCAGTTTCTACACATTTAAATCTCTTAAAAATTGAAAAAAGCGCAAATAAATTATGCTTTCTAACTGGAAGTATCTTAGATAGTGCCTTCTTCAAAACTAATCATGCCATGGCCAATACCGAGTGATTTTAAATATATGACCATTTTTACTTTGCAGTTTCTACACATTTAAAGCTCCTAAAAATTTCAAAAGCGCAAATAAATTATGCTTTTTAACTGCAAGTATTTTAGATATATATTCTTCAAAAATAATCATACCAAAATAGAATAAACTGCTTGGTTTATACAGGGTAAGTCAAAAATAGATGGATTTTTTTTAATACTGCCAAAAAGCGACACTCCATAATTGATATGATAAATTGATACATCTTATATATAATAACAAGCAATTCATAACAATATATAAGCAATTCCTAAACCAAACCGAACCAAAATTGGTATTTATTGAGCATATGTAAGTCTAAATATTTATGAAAATAAGGCACATTGCTTATTTTACTAATAGAATAACATCAATTTATACATAATTTTTTAACAATACTTTAAATTTGATATGAACTATATTTATTTATTTTATAAAATACAGACACTAGACAAAATATAGTCTATTTTCGTAAAATTAATTTAAAATATCGTATCTATCTATAACTGGAAACCAGTCACTATATTATTCAAGTCTATTTTATTAATTAAATGTTCTGGCTTAATAAATCATCGAGAAGCGATCATATTTAGAAAAAGAAACACCTTTTAACAATATTGTGACATATTGATTTATGTCCCTGTATATAAATAGTACCCACTTATTTTAGAACAGGAAGTACTTCAGTTTGGATAAAAATAACTATGGAAATCTTAGATCATCCTGTATTAAAGGTGTCCGCTTTGATGTCGACACTTAATTTTAAATCCCACTGTAAAAAAACACCTCTAATTGAGTTGAAAATAAATGCCAGCTATTCATAAATATTCTTATGCTTAGTTCTGAATAGGCAATGCAGCAGAATTATGCTGTCTATTTATAATATATTTGGAAGGAAAAACGGAAATCACAATAGGTAATTTAAGTGAAATAATATTTTCGAAGACGGTAAATACAGTGTTTCTCCATTTTTAGCAGGTTGTATTTTCTTTTCTGATGTATAATTTTTTTATCAAACTTATAATACACATTTTATTTTATTGTTATTTACAAAATTCTACGCCTCGTAGCATGTCTAGTATAAAATTATGTCTTCTTAATAAAGTCACTATTATACAGTCGCATTCAGGTGCCTATTTATTAAGATATTTTTGTTCACAGGGAAGCCCATTATATGCAGGTGAAAGCTGCAATAATTCAATGCAGTTTTTATTAATTTCAGTACATAAATTCTATAATCTATGTTACTGCACGGTAATAATAATAATTGTATATGTTTTTGTTATTATTCAGTCGTGGTTTTGTTATATCATTTATCGAAAAATGTTTATACTAATATTTAATATTATTAGTTTGTGAATAAATAAATTTAGGAATAAATACAGCCACCAATAAAGTAGGTCTCAAAATGAAATTAGAAAAAAAAATGGCGCCGGGAGGCACGTATAGCCGCCCATACTAAAATATGTTAATAAAAAGTTTGTAGGCAATTCTTTTAGTTTCAAAGTGAAGAAATTTTTTCAATTTTTTTTATCTCAAAAACTGCGACTTTGACTGATTTTGATGTTATTACAAATTTTGTTGCAAATATTATTCCTAATATTAAATTGAAAACCGCGTTTCGCTAGCTACTGTAATTTTGGAGTTACGATTTTTTTAAATTTTCGGAATACAGTTCGGACCACCCGTATATGAAATAAATCAAAAATAAATGAGAGCTCACCAATTTTTGTAGTGGAAAGACTGCGTTGCAAAATTTGGCAGTGTTGACATTTTATGTTTTTGATGAGATTGATCTTATCGCCCAACTATTCCAGACGAGAATAACTAAATAAACCTTATATTTACCGTTTTTCGTATACTTTTTTTCAGTATAGGGGAATTAATGATACTAAACAACAAGACGATTTACTTTTCCTTCCTTTGATTTCAAAAGCTCTGAGGAAATTCCATCTAAAACCAAAAAAAAATCGAGATATCTCAAAGATGCGAATATCTCGCAAACGGTAAATACTGAGGCTGCCATTTATGCCTCGCTAGAGAAAGAACTAATTGAGTCCTACAAACGCCCCCATTTGAGCTATGCCTCCCCAAGCCTCCGTTTCAGAATTATTTCGCCTCAAAGTTTTCCATTTTCGATCCAGAGGCATTTTTTACCTTGGAAAAATTCGCTTTCCTTAATTTCTTTATTTTATTTTTTTAGATATTTTAACCGCAATTTACAAAGCTCTTTTTATATTAAATAACTTAGATATTTGTCTGTATTTGTCGGTTAAATCTATACATTTTAATTATGTAGGCTTGTTTGACTAATTATTAATTTTATTATTGCTTATTATCGTAATATTACCAACCTTTTTTTATAAAGGAATAAATTCATAATCTATTCCTCTTCCTCTTCACACTGAACTTTCTTTATATATATTTAAATTTCTAAGGTAACTCTTAAAATACGATTTAATTTTTTTTTTCATTTCTCTTTAAACCGAATATCTCAAGAATATCAACCAAACTTTGGGTTAAATGCCTCAACTTAGGTACAAAGTATAAAGTTTAATCTTTCTTGTTTTGTTAAACTTTAATTTAATACAAGCAAAGTAAGAATTAAACTATGCACAAAAGAACCAACTGGTAATGCCGCAAAGGAAATAAATAATTTAGTCTGTTTCTTTCTTAAAATTGATGCAGATAATTTAAATTCCGGTTTGTGGTATACAATGTGTTTCTTTGAATATGGTAAACAACGATTGAGTATCACTTCTAAAAAAAATCGGACTTCAATTCTCTTTATTTGATTTATCTTACACAATGTTTCGGTGAGATGTATCACAGACCGGCGTCAACTGCAGGTGGACATAAACCTTCTACATCACTACACAGCAGTCTTACAAGGATTTCTTGTTATATTTAGGTTTTAATATACTCTTTTAGTGTTATTAATATTATTTTATAATGAATTTTCCCCCTCAACCACAAAATCCTACTTCTTCAGCTAATGGTAAACTGCTGATGGACACAAACCTTCTACTTCAACAGAGAGCAGTCCCACGAGGATTTCTTGTTATATTTAGGTTTTAATATATTCTTTTGGTTTTATTAATATTATTTCATATTCAATTTTTGCCCCTCAAGCACGAAATCCTACTTCTTCAGCTAATGGTAAACTGCTGATGGACACAAACCTTCTACTTCAATAGAGAGCAGTCCCACAAGGATTTCTTGTTATATTTAGGTTTTAATATACTCTTTTGGTGTTATTAATATTATTTTATAATGAATTTTCCCCCTGAACCACAAAATCCTACTTCTTCAGCTAATGGTAAACTGCTGATGGACACAAACCTTCTACTTCAATAGAGAGCAGTCCCACCAGGATTTCTTGTTATATTTAGGTTTTAATATACTCTTTTGGTGTTATTAATGTTATTCCATATTGAATATTTTCCCGTCAGCCCCAAAATTTTACTTCTTCAGCTAATGGTAAACCGCTGATGGACACAAACCTTCTACTTCAATAGAGAGCAGTCCCACAAGGATTTCTTGTTATATTTAGGTTTTAATATACTCTTTTGGTGTTATTAATATTATTTCATATTGAATTTTTGCCCCTCAACCACAAAATCCTACTTCTTCAGCTAATGGTAAACTTCTGATGGACACAAACCTTCTACT